TAAATTGAATTAAAAGTTTAATTCCAACAACAATAATATTCTGACCTTTTTTCTTCTATTATTTGATTTTTATTTTTTATTAATTTTTAACTGGTTTACGACTCAAGAGACCGTAGTACAAATTGCTATAACTAAATTATATTTATATAATTACGCAATTTTTCTTACAGTTGTGTGACTACTCTGCCAGTAGTGTAATCTGCTAATAAATTATAACTATAAAATTTCTTTTTTTATGCACAATTATGTAAACCATACGTCAGCAAACTTGCGCGTGCGTGCCATTATTGGATTACGCGTTAACTGATTCCCCGAAAGGAATCTAAACCGGCCGAGAAGTTAAGGGTACTTTACTAAAACAACAATAGCAATAATAATAACACTTGTTTTTTACAGCAGTAACAAAATTTAACCGTACATGGATATATTGTATATTTCCGCTATTAACGTAGCTATATTAGATTATTAAGGTTTGTAAATAAACATAATATTCACGGTCAATATGTCGGGGAAATCTTTAGCACAAATGAATTACGTCGCGAATGCGCTTTTGAACAGGTAAAAAAGGCCCTGTGTAAGTCCCCACGACTGAGCCCTCCTGATTACGCGAAAACTTTCTGTCTTCAAACTGATGCAAGTGAAATCAGCGTGGGCGCAATACTTTTTCAGCATGAGGATGAACAGGGCGCGAAAAAATCATATTATTACCTTATAATTCGCCTTATTACCATTGTTTTGTTTAACATTGTTTTTTCTCGCTCTCTTTGTTAAACTATTGCTTTTTCCATAACCTTAAACCTTATATATATTTTTTTTTTTGTTTGAATACTAAAGTTGTTTGCCTATTGTTAATTCGTTAAGCACGATTGTTGGCCTATTTGAACCGGTGTATAATACAAACCCAAATTTGTATAATATTAATTGGTAGTAATTTCAATAGTTTAATTTATTCTTTGTTAATTATATACCTCGTAGTTCGCACATTAGCTTACATTGACTATAGTGCTCAGTGTCATTTGCATTAAAACTTTGGATACCTTAACTCTATGCTTGTTTGTAATAATACAATCATTTTAATTAGAACATTCTCAGAAAACTGTTAATGTGCGAATCACTCGTTTCAGTTGTCCAGTTTAGATAAAATATAAAATTTATCCATGCTAACATTGCAGTTAATTTTTTAGTAATTTAATATTTACTTGTAATAGTATTTGAACTTGATATTTGTTCATTGTTGTCGCGCATGATTGTACAAACATTCATGATGCGTTATACAGCAAAATTAGTCCACAAGTCCATTTGATTACAACTTGTCTAACTCTTTCTCTAATATAATATTGCATTGATCTTTTAGTACTTTAGTATTTTTTTATAAGAGTTTTGGCTTTGAACTTAATATATATACTCATTGTTGTCTCACATGATTGTACAATCATTTATGTTGTTGTATATAGCAAATCCAGTCCATAAGTCCAATTAATTTTAAACTACTTAAATCGTTGAGCTGCTTACTCAATATTGTATCTTAATTGACTGTTTATTGTTTAATTAAATTATATGCTTGTTCAGTTATTATTATACTTTAATTTAGTAGACCACTGGTTATTTGTAAGATTAAGAGCACTTTTGTTTTCTTTTGTAATTGAACTCTAAGTTATTGCCCAGTTGTTGTTAGTGACTCATAATTAGTTAATAATTCTTTCCTCTATTTGTTTAAATTACTTTTTCTGAAAAATTGTACTTTATGTCCCTCGTTTAACGTTCATTAACATTATTTCCATTTGTACATTCTTTGCCCAAACTTAACAAGTTACTTTACTCAATTTGTTATTACATTTGTACTATGTAATTCAATATGAGTTTATATTAACTAGTACTTTTTATGCTCAGTAATAAATTGACTTTGTTTATTGAGCCATTTGTTTTACTGAACATCCACCCTCCCTATACCTCTATATCACATATACAGTCCACTACCACAATCCATGTCTAAAAAAGTAACTAACTGAACAAAGGTTACAGGTAAGGTAGTTAATGCACTGGTGTTAGTCAGCCTGCACACTGTACAAAATTTATTTACTTTTTAATTGCATGGTACTTTGACTTAATGATTTTATTTTAGCTTATTTTTTCCTAGTCCTCCCTCTCCCTTCACTTCTTACACCTTCCTCTACAAACAAATCAGATAATTATAATTAAAAAATAAACTGACCGAACAGCTATTCTCTTGTCGCCTATATATGAATAGGAGTTTGTTAATATTTAAGTCCTGTTCCTTACACTCATGTCAACCCGTAAGTGGTACGGTGAAAAAAAATCACACTAATGGTAAAGTGTGGTCTCCTGGACCTCTTCATTTTTTATGTAATATTTAGAACACATTTTTCTATTATTCCATCATATTTTTGGTAGAACAATATCTTAGTAGTATTAAATGAGATATGACAAACTTTTTTTGGACTTTAATTTAAACCATGTAAAGTAACTACTAAATTTTTCAGGAAGTTTTATGATCTGTCATGCAATTATGTACTTGACCTTCGTTATGTTCTGAAGCATTTTAAAATACATTTTTGACTCCACAGTCATTAAAATATTAAACTAGACATAAATTAAAATAGATTTAGGATTTATAAATTGCCATCAAAATATAAACAAAAATTTTTTTATTTTTTATATTATCCTTTTCGACTTTTATAAAAAACCCAGCACAGTGAGGTGGTGGCAGAGTGGGGTCGTGGCATAGTTGGGTCCAGTATAGATGATATCTGAAAGTGATTAAAATCACTATCATAAAAAACGCTTCGATGCAAATCTGTAGATAGTGTTTAATTAAAAAAAAAATTTGTTAAAATAGCATATTTTTGAATATGGTAGCCATTTGCGCATAGAAGATAGGTCATCGGGACAAATTTGTATTTTCATTTTATAGTATATAACATAACCTTTGATTTGATATATATTTAAAGGACGCAGTATTTCCGGAACATTTTCAAAAATTAAGTTGAAAAAGATCTATGTTTTTTTTAATATTTCAAGTTTTGAACGCACCTTATATAAGAGGAAATTGTCCAATTTTAATAAAAAGTATGTCAAATGAAAAATGTACTTATAGTGTATTTTGAAAATAAAAATTTGTGTTGATATATACATTTTTCAAAAAGTTATAGCATTTTTAAGTTGAAAATTTAAAATCAACAATTGAAAATTTTAACACAAAAATAGTGTTTTTTTAACTACGGCAGCCGTTTAAATATAGAAAAAAAAGTGTCGGGACAAATTTTTTTTTTTCATTTTGTAGTACATAAAATAAGCTTTAATTTGATATATGTTTCAAGGACGCAGTATTTCCGGAACATTTTCAAAAATTAAGTTGAAAAAGTTAATTTTTGTAAAAAAGTTGCTATTTAAATCCTCCCTAATGAGCAGGTTAAGTGATAGATTTCCAAAAAAATGATATCAAATGAAAGATAAATATCTAAGGTTTTAGTATAAAAAAAAGTTATGTTGATTTGTTGATTTTTGAAAAAATTATGGAAGTTTTAAGAAAAAAAGTGAAAAAATTGCGGAAATTAGCGATTTTTAAATTTGAAATTTTTTTGGATATTTCCCCCATTTGCGGGGAACGAGGGAAAATTTTAAAATTTTTAAGGGTAATGTTTTCAACTAGATACGATTTGTGATCTTTTGACGTATTTTTGAAAGAAATTGGTCTAGTGAGATTTGAGAAAAAGTGGCATCAGACATAAAAAAAAAAAAAAAAAAACACATTATAGTAAAATTAATACCTTCTCCGCTTCGCATCGAAGCTAAAAAGTTATACATAATGAGTTAACTTCAAATAAAATAAATAAAGTCAATTTCCAATACAATTTATTCATATTTTTCTACTGCACTATAGACATATTGCATCTCCACAAAGTATACATTGATACATGGTTTTTCTTTTCTTTATTGGAAGACATATGCGGACAAGTTTTTCGTATTTCCAGTTTGTCTTCGTACAATGTTGTATCCTTTAGATTTTTAGATTTTCCAAAAATTCTTCCAATACTACTCCTTATTTCTCGAGGGATATATGTATTTTCAAATCGTCGCTCCAATTCAGTTAAAAGTTCAAACGCTAAAGTTTTTAAAAAATTGGACCTCATAATTGACTTGTTTTTTTTTAATGAATTATACAAGACATACGAATTTACACCAGAAATATCAAGAAGTCGGTAAAATATAGCTAATGGCCAGGGACATGTACGACGTTCTGTAGATGAAATGGAATATTTTTCGTCCAATGCATCTACGCCACCTTTCATACTATTATAGTAAGAAACTAGAGATTATCTCAGGTTTTTGGATATCATCGTCTTAACCTTTATGATTATGCATCGATGATATCAATAGCAATGGACTCAGTCGATTTTTGAAAAGAAAAAAAAATTACATTAATGGTATGGTGCGGTCTACCGGAACGCTTATCACTTCTAAAGAGCTTTGACGACCAGAGCAATACGTGTTTACCTTCAAAAACATGGTTATCATTTTAATACTACCTACAAAAAAAGGTAAATCTTATATCCGTGAACATAACATCAATATCTTACCAGCTAAATAAAAATAAAAAATTGCAGTGGTCAATCAGACCGCACCATACCACTTACGGGTTAAACAATATAAACGTAAATTTACAGTTGAAAAATAGTAAAAATTTCTATAATTGTGTTACAGTAGTGCTTATAGCTTTAATATTTAAGCAGCTTTAGATACTATGACGTAGTTATTATTTTTAAATTTATATTTTTCAGAATAATTTTTTTTTCTTATGAAAAATTATAGAAAATCGATTTTACTCAATTTTATATCAAACAATTCTAAATATTAAGTCTAAAATTATGTTTAAATTAATACTGTGACTATAAATCACTTTTTAACTGTTTAAACACACATTTTATAAATAGTATTCAGTATAATAAATGTTTATATAAATAAAATCATACATTAAAATATCTAAAATTTATTATAGTGTAGTTTTGAAAAATTACTCTTTTTAAGAAGTTATATTTTACCATTATTGATTAGTTAAGATACTAATAATGATTTTTTATCAACATTATGTGTTAACAATCACCTTTCGGATATTTTGTAATATACAATTTATCACTTGTAGCTATTGTAGAGAGGAACCAAAAATTGTTAATAAACTTAAAGAAACAGAAGACCTTAAAGTAGCATTCAATCTTGATACTGGATTTTCTTATAATACTAACCCTGAAATGTTTGAATTGGATTTAGATGATTTTGTAGATATGATAAAGGAGGAAGATGACCCAGAAATTAGTTTGTATACCAAACCAGATATTATCTACTACGATCTTTATTGCGGTGATTTATATAATTTTTTACAATACATAAACTCTATACAATCCTTAATAGAATATGATTCTACTTATGAATACGATCATTTATTGTTGAACGAATCAATTATTCAACAAATGCTAGCTGAAAAACTAAAGGTAGATTTACTAACAAAAAAATTAAAGCCTTTTTGGATAATGTACATGTTTGCTATTTATGTAAAAATCCAAAGGAAGGGTAATATATTATCGAAGAAATTACATGTTACGAGAATTCTAGAAAAAATAAAGGATTCTTTATTGTTATATACAACTCAAAACTGTCGAAAAAATAATAAATACAATATAACAGCTGAATTTTACGCATTAGAAAAAAAAGAGAAGATCTCAATGATAGAAAAAGTAAAGACAGTAATGGTAAATAGAAAGAATATTAATAATATTTTACTGCACGGTGAAGATGTAGAAAATTGGGTTTCTCTTAAGAAAATTTATCTTCACGATATTATTCAAAATACAGATATGTTGAAAACTATAATAATGGATTTCGGTGAACAAAGTGAGAAAACTTACGAAGACATTATGAAAGATATTAATAAAGCATATCACGCTGCAAAGAATTATTATTGGTTTGATATATGGATTTCAAAAATTAGAATTTATCATGATAAAATCTTTAACATTTTTAGAGTCGTAACTTTACATTTAATTAGAAAGTATCTAATGTATTTAAGAAATAAGGATGAAAAAATTGTGTTTCAGTATTTATCACAAATGTACGATTTCTTGGAATATAATAAGTATACATTTGATTTGTTTTATCCTAGATTTTCCGAGTTCCATTCAAAGTTTGGATTTACACCAGATAGTTTCTTTGAAAACTATGATCATATAAATAATACTATGATCGGATATGTTGCAGGCATGATAGAAAATGTATTTAGAGTTGAGTCTTTTGAAATATTAAAAATAGAAGTAAATAACGAAATATATAACATGAATTCAATTGAGAAAACTAATACACTTATGAAATTAGTTCAAATAAGCAAAGAAAAAAAAAAAAAAATAGAAGATTTTCAAAGTAACTCTGACAACATAGGCTTGAATGATAGCTTTGAAAGATTTAATTTATTTTTAGAATATTTTATAAATATATTTAAGCATAATCTTAAGATTTTTTGGTCGTTCAATCAATTTAGTTCGGACTACAATATAACTAATTATCGGAATCGACGAGAAAAAATATTGCTTCATCTATAATATATATATATATATATATAAATCATCAATATGACTTATAATTGTTTTCATTAAACTTAATAAAATTCTAAATTTAATTTTGAGTGTCGAATAATAATAAAATAAATAATATTTGAACGGTTAGTGGTTTTTATTATACCAGTTGAATTATGAAAAATTATCCATTGTGCTTCGAGTATTTAAATTATTTAACGAACTTTAACGAATTTAACGAATTCATAGATTTTGTTCGTATTATGGTTCACTAAGTAATCAAATTTTTATAATTTACAAGAATTGTTTATAATATTTTATGCTTATAACATAATATATGTTTATTACATTCACTAATTATTTATCTAATATAATATCACCCCAAAAAAATAAAGTGTTTAGCTCCAATAACTAATAAGTTTCTTTGGCGATTGCCTAAATCGCAATATTTTACGCCGGATCACAATGGACAGAATTAAAAAATAATAAAAAAAAAACCCAGCACAGGGGGGTCGTGGCACAGTGAGGACGTGGCACAGTTGGATCAAGTATTATGATATCTGACAGTGATTAAAATCACTATAAAAAAAAAACGCTTCGATGCAAATCTTTAGATAGTGTTTAATTTTAAAAAATTGGTGGATTATTCAAAAGCTACATGATCTGCTATTTCATTATTAATATCCTAATTAAGATAAAGTATGTCGAATGAAAAAGGGATTATTAAAAAATATTATTTCTCATAAAAAAATAATGTTGATCCATACACTTTTCAATATGTCATAGCATTATAAAGTTAAAAATTTAAAAAATAAAATCGAGAATTTTCACACAATAATAGCATTTGGTAGCCATTTTCACCGTGAAGATAAAATAAAGTCCGAAATTTTTTTTTTGCATAATAAAGTAAATTACATTAGCTTTAATTTAAGATATATATAAAAGTGTCAGACTTTCCGGAACACTTTCAAAATTTAAGTTGAAAAAGTCAATTTTTTGTGAAAAAGTTGTCATTTTGAATCCCCCCCTGTAGGCAGGTAAAAAGTCAGATTTATAAAAAAAATATACCAAATGATAGGTAAAGACATCATGCATCTACAAAAAAAAGAATTATATTGATCCATACATCTTTCGAGAAGTTATAGCATTATAAAGTTAAAAATATAAAAAAGAATTTTTTTACAAAAATCGTATTTTTTTTATTAAGTTTAATGTCTGTTTTCACCATGAAGATAAAATAAAGTCCGAAATTTTTTTTTACCATTATAAAGTATATTACATTAGCTTTAATTTAAGATATATATAAAAGTGTCAGACCTTCCGGAACACTTTCAAAAGTTACGTTGAAAAAGTTCTACTTTCTATATGCATTTTTATGTTTTGAATCCCCCCTGTATTTAGGGAAATGGTCCGATTTAAAAAAACAGTATGTCGAATGAAAGATCTATATAAATACTACTTCTCATAAAAAAATTGTAATGATTCATACATTTTTCAAAAAGTTATAGCATAATAAAGTTAAAAATTTTAAAAATGAAATCGACAATTTTCATACAATAATAGCATTCGGTAGCCATTTTCACCGTGAAGATAAAATAAAGTCCGAAATTTTTTTTTTTCATAATAAAATAAATTACATTAGCTTTAATTTAAGATATGTATAAAAGTGTCAGACTTTCCGGAACACTTTCAAAATTTAAGTTGAAAAAGTTAAATTTTTGTGAAAAAGTTCTCATTTTAAATCCCCCTCTGTGTACAGGTAAAGGGTCAGATATAAAAAAAATATATACCAAATGATAGGTAAAGACATCATGCATCTATAAAAAAAAATTATATTGATCCATACATCTTTCAAAAAGTTATAGCATTATAAAGTTAAAAATATAAAAAAGAATTTTTTTACAAAAATCGTATTTTTTTTATTAAGTTTAATGTCTGTTTTCACCATGAAGATAAAATAAAGTCCGAAATTTTTTTTTACCATAATAAAGTATATTACATTAGCTTTAATTTAAGATATATATAAAAGTGTCAGACCTTCCGGAACACTTTCAAAAGTTACGTTGAAAAAGTTCTACTTTCTATATGCATTTTTATGTTTTGAATCCCCCCTGTATATAGGGAAATGGTCCGATTTAAAAAAACAGTATGTCAAATGAAAGATGTATATGAATACTACTCCTCATGAAAAAATTGTACTGATCCATACATTTTTCAAAAAGTTATAGCATAATAAAGTTAAAAATGTAAAATACAAAATCGAAAATTTTCACACAAAAATAGCATTCGGTAGCCATTTTCACCGTGAAGATAAAATAAAGTCCGAAATTTTTTTTTTTCATAATAAAATAAATTACATTAGCTTTAATTTAAGATATGTATAAAAGTGTCAGACTTTCCGGAACACTTTCAAAATTTAAGTTGAAAAAGTAAATTTTTTGTGAAAAAGTTCTCATTTTAAATCCCCCTCTGTGTACAGGTAAAGGGTCAGATATAAAAAAAATATATACCAAATGATAGGTAAAGACATCATGCATCTATAAAAAAAAATTATATTGATCCATACATCTTTTAAAAAGTTATAGCATTATAAAGATAAAAATATAAAAAACAATTTTTTTACAAAAATCGTATTTTTTTTATAAACTTTGATGTCTGTTTTCACCATGAAGATAAAATAAAGTCCGAAATTTTTTTTTACCATTATAAAGTATATTACATTAGCTTTAATTTAATATATATATAAAAGTGTTTATATATATAATTTATTATATTTATAATTTATATATAAAAACATTTTTAAAAGTTAATTTTTTCTGAAAAAGTATAATAATATAATATCACCCCAAAAAAATAAAGTGTTTAGCTCCAATAACTAATAAGTTTCTTTTGCGATTGCCTAAATCGCAATATTTTACGCCGGATCACAATGGACAGAATTAAAAAATAATAAAAAAAGTCTTTATTACAACAATGCATCACTTTTCTACATCTCGTTACACGGATTTTGTATTTAGTACACTAACATATCTCATACTTACAATGTATCTCATCCAGTGGCGCCGGAACCAGGGTCAAAATACGATGGTGTCAAAAGTATCATTATGTCCCCCCAATATTGCTTATAACCCAATTTGCTTTGATGCAAATCTTTAGCTAGTGTTTAATTTTAAGAAATTGATGGATTATTCCTAAAGCAAAATTAACTCCTATTTTTTGTTCTACTTCGACTACCATTTGTACATAGAAAATAGGTGGTCGATACAAATTTTTTTTTGTTTGAACTTTTAGTACATAAAATTTGTTTTATTTTAATGGAAGTTAGGTTCATGTAAATTTTATATTTATTGGTGAATTCATTACTATCGAAAACCCTTTTAAGGTATTTTAAAATAAACAGAAAAAAATAAAATTTGAGCACAAAAATAGAATGTTTTTTTTTAAATACGACAGCCATTTGCACATAGAAGATAAGTCGTCGAAAAATTTTTTTTTTTAATTTAAAGTACATTACATAAGCTTAAATTTGACATATGTTTTATAAATGCAGTGTGTCCGGAACATTTTCAAAAGTTAAATTGAAAAAGTGTGTTTTGTAAAAAAGTAGCAATTTTGAATCACCCTCCGTAGGCAGGTAAAGGATCAGATTTTCAAAAATATTATATCAAATAAAATGGAAACGCATGATTTTTCAGTATAAAAATCATTTTCATCATTTACGACGAACGAAGGAAAAATGTTCAATTTTTTATGGTAATGTCTTCAACAAGATACGATTTTTGATCAATGACGTAAATAAATAAACACATCATGGTAAAATTAATATGTTCTCAGCTTCGCATCGAAGCTAATAATATGTATTCTTAAGAATAAAATTTATAAATTAATTAATTTATTAAATTTTTAGTTTCGATGCGAAGCTGAGAAGGTATTAATTTTACCATGATGTGTTTA